TACTACAGTGCTACAGAGTACTACTACAGTACTACAGTACTACAGAGTACTACAGAAAATACCACACAGGACTTTCATACAGAGTACTGATGCCAGGATCAGAGATTTGTTTTTAATCATGAGAATAAAGTCAAAATGTCCCAGAAAGTTGTAAAATTATGATAAAAAGTCTTAATGAGAAAAGTTTGGATAAATTTATCTAGATCTATGTGACTAGATCAGTTTGTGGTTTTTTTCCATTCAGTTGTTGATTAATTACTTCAAAGTCCTGCTGATAATAATTTGATGCGGACGTCATATTTGGCTTTGTCATATGATTTTATTCTCATGTTTCAACTTTACAGGGTAATACTGCAACCTTATTCTCAAACTTTTACAATTTTATTTCTCATAATTCGACTTTATTGCCGGATGATTTTATTACTATATTCTCGTAATATTTGACTGTACTGTCATATTATTATGGCTCTAATTGTAATATGATTGTTTATTTTACAGTTTTATTCTTGTGTTATCTTGACTTTATTCTCGTAATATCGTGTCTTTATGTTTGTACATCTTTATTCTGTTGATTTTGAAAATTTTTCCTTTAATAAAGGAAACAAACATCAAAAACCTGCTCTTTATGTTTTTCTCAAGTCATGTCAATAAAATTAATTTTATTATTATTAATATTAATTAAAAAGTCAGAGGGATTAAAAGCAGAAACATGTAGGGGACAAACACTTTTCACAGAACTCTCATTGTTTGTGTTGCATCTTTTTAATGAAGTAGTTCCATTAAACCCTGTTGGAGGATTTAATGGAACTACTTTGTCATAAAGAGACAGTGTTAATATTTAGTGTTAATATTTAGGGATCAGTGTTAATGTCTTAGTGTGGGAACCCGTCTGACCTGATGTACCCGACCTGCGGCCGGTGGCTCAGCTGCCAGCGGTACGACGTTTTGTCCTTCCAGCCGGCGTTTCGGGGATCCTTCCAGAGCAGCTTCACCTCGCCGAGCGTGTCTCCGGTGTGCCACAGGGCGTTCCTCAGGTACTCCCCCGGCCCGGTCTGAGACTTCACCGCCTGCAGGACCAAAAACTTCAGCTTCAAAGCGTTTTTTTATCTCCCCATTTTTGTCAATGTCAAAATGTTTTTTTCAAAAATTGTTTGTTTTAATCTACATTTTTTGTCAATTTTTTTTTTCAGTTTTAAATTACTTCAGTTTAAAATAGTTTTCTCCAGTTTTAACATTTTTGTAGTTACAGATTTTTTCCAGTTTCAAAGTTTATTTCAGTTTTGTTTCAATCCAGGTGAAACCTGGAAGAGAGGGCGGGGCTTATCTGGCTGCGTTCAGGAGCAATCAGGGATAATTGGCTATAATCTGCTGGGAACATTAAAGATTTAACTTGTAGCATCAGATTGTAACCATAGTAACAAAAGTCTGAAATTTTAAATTGTATTTATTCTGAATAAACAGATGTAAACATTTATCTCTCTGGTTAGTGTTGAAATTGAGGCACTCTGGTGTTCATTTTGCTGATGCCTTGGGCCGGCTGCCTGCGGTAAAAGCCGAACCTTGAGCTGCAGGGCGGGCTGGGCCGTGGCCCGGAACGGGACGGACTGCCAGTACGCCTGCTCCGTCTGCTTCCACATCACCACGTAGAAGCTGGACGAGTCCTGGTACCCGAAGATGAAGCCGGCGTAGTCGTCATCCGTCACCGTGTTGACGTGGAACGTTCCCTCGAAGTCCACGCCGTTAAACGCCGTGTAGCCTGCAGAAACATGGAGGTTTGACGGATCAGAACCAGGTCCATCGGAATCAGGATTTCAATCTGAACGAAGGGAAACGCACCGACAGCTAAACCCGGATCGCTGTTCATCGTCTGAACGATCTCCATGCCCTGAGGACAGCAGAACGGCGGATTAATACATTCAGAGAGTTTTTACTCTGCTTCATTTCATTCAAATGGTTTTATTCTGTTCAGAGAGGAAAACGCAGGACTGTCCCAACAAGCAATAAATCAATCTAAACTGACATGAGCTCAATAATTTCCATTTGCATGATTTGTCGTCTTCTCTTTTCTTTCTTTTTCTACCAAGAACCAGCCAGATATCTAGGAACCAAGGAAGGAAGTTAGCCAGCCAGCTAGGACAGAAGGAAGCAAGTTAGGATCAAAGATCATTTCAGCCCGTTTGAAGTCCATCATTCTCCAGCAGAGGAAATCATTCGGCCCAATGTCATTCTGTGACACTGAAAGGAGAAGCCTGTTAGCATGAAGCTAACGGCCCTCAGGTACCAGGTTAAATGCGTTAGTACCGCATTAAATAAGGTTAAGCAACAAAATTCAAAATAACTTCAATTTCACAAAACTAAGTCTTTTTCTAGCATGAAGTGGTTTCATTAGCTCGTTTTTTCCGAAGAGCTAATGCTCAAAAGTGAAGATGGAAACACATTTTCCAGATAAACTGATGTAGCGAACATTTTCCTCTCATGACTGATCAGCTGTTTCCAATGCCATTAGAATTGCTTTTTGTCTCTCCGTCGTCAGACAGCATGAAAGATTGCTAATGCTAGTTGACATGATGGAGAATTAGCTTTCCTGAAAACCTCTCTCTGTTTTCCTGAGATCTGTGGATCATGCTAGCTTACAACCTCTACTTCCTGTTTATTACAGCCATCCGTAGCATCAACATCTAACAAATTCACCCCAACCAGTAGATGGAAACAAGCCTAGTTCACATTTTGTTTTTGCAACGTTTTAAAAGTTTGCTCAAAATTTGCATGACAAAGGGATGGAAGCAGCTAGCATAGCAACGAGTTACCTGATTCAGAACCACCCAGTTGGGGTCGATCTGGGCCTCGCCTTCAGGGTCCAGGATCACCGTCTGATAGGCTCGGAAGTCCGTCAGCGTTACCTCGGCGCTCTCTGGACACACATCGATCAGATCCATCACGGCGTCGTTGTCGAAGTCGTTCTCGCAGACGTCTCCGACTCCATTGGCTGAAGACAGAAACAAGAGAGACAGGTCCAGACTGAGTCCATAGAGAGAAAGGTTCGGTCCAATCAGGATTCTGGTTCTGCACGGTACCGTCTGAGTCTTTCTGGTTCGGGTTGATGATCAGTCTGCAGTTGTCGTAATCGTCGATGACGCCGTCGTTGTCGTCGTCGTGGTCGCAGTCGTCTCCGAGGCCGTCGTTGTCGGAGTCCAGCTGGGAGCTGTTGGGGATGTCAGGACAGTTGTCTCTGGAGTCCTGGTGACCGTCTCCGTCCCTGCAGCAGCAGAACAGCAAGACGAGTATTTCAGCGTGTTGTCATGGTTTCAGCAACCTAAACTGATTGGACGACAGTAGGGGGAGATGTTATGTTTGTCAGACATACGAGTCCAGGTTGGTGTCACAGACGTCTCCCACCAGGTCGTTGTCCACATCCGTCTGCAAAACAAGACAAAGTAAAAACCTGACCAACCAGAGCTGGTTAAATGAGCCAGGTTGCTGCTGGAGGACACAGAACCTGCATGGGGTTGCTGAGTTCAGGGCAACTGTCGCAGGCGTCTCCGACTCCGTCTCTGTCTCTGTCCGTCTGCATCGGGTTGGGAACCTTAGGGCAGTTATCCAGAACGTTGGGAATACCTGAACACAGAAACAGGCTGATCCAACAACTGAAGGTACCATAGCAGGTAGAGAGGCAGGCCAATAGCAAGGCAAAGGAGTAGCTGCCATAGAATGAGTTGATTTATGTTTTATGATATTTGAAGGGGCGTGGCCAGGCCTCAGACTTTGATACATAAAAAATCTTAAATATGAAAGCTATGAGGCACGAAACCTGAAATTATTTTCTGAATGTTTCTTAAGTTTGGATCTGCTGGTTTGTATAAAATCTGAAAGATTCTGATCCAACCAGAATAACCCAGACTGGCCTCCTGATGCTGAATATCATTTATTGGAGTCATTTCAGCAACATTTCCTTGGAGATCAATGAGCTGAAATCCTTCAAGTTGGAAGATGCCTGCTGTTCCCTCTGATCACCAGCAGAGGGCAGATTGTCCTCACCATCTCCATCGATGTCCTGGTCGCAGGCGTCTCCCTGTCCGTTGTTGTCTGTGTCCTTCTGGTCGCTGTTGGGGACGGTGGGACAGTTATCACACGAGTCTCCGAACGAGTCGCTGTCCGAGTTCTGCTGATCTTTGTTGGGGACCAAACGGCAGTTGTCCTGAACCACAAACAAGACGTTAGGTTGACCGCGGCAGCTGGAGCAGCGTCTACACCCGGTTGATATCCAACCTCCACATTCTTGATGCCGTCTCCGTCTGCATCCTCGTCGCACTGGTCTCCGATGCCGTCGTTGTCCGCGTCCTCCTGGCCCGAGTTTGGCGTAAACATGCAGTTGTCCTGATGGACGAGGTCAAAGTGTCACCAACACATCGTAATGCTGACTAGCAACTGTGGGAAATTTGCGATCTGACCCATTTCCAACTGCGACCTGATCTGTCTCCAGGTGCGACCTGACCTGTCTCCAGGTGCGACCTGACCTGTCTCCAGGTGCGACCTGACCTGTCTCCAGGTGCGACCTGACCTGTTTGCAGTGTTTGTCATTGTCCATGCAGGGCAGAGAGCGGTCGGGGTAGCCGTCGATGTCCGTGTCCATTCCACAGGTGTGTCCGTTTCCGGCCCAGCCAACGTTACACTGGAAACACATTCAGAACACATGAAAGGCTTCCAGCAAAACTCTAAAGTTTAAGGCTGAAACAATTAATCGTGATTAATAATTTAAAAATAATTGATTAATCATTAACTGGAATAAAAGGACATTTGCTGAAAGAACAATACATTTAGAGCAGAAATTATGTCAAAACTCTATAAAAATACAAACATTTTGAATTTTAGATAGAAAAAATGTCTTTGTCTGTAATTCTGATCAACCCAGAAGTGGAAGTTTTAGATTCACCTGGTTCAGATTCTGGAAAAAACCTCCAATTAAGCACCTTTTCCATCCATTTATTAAATGATAGATGAGTTAGATTGATTTGCTCTAACACATTATATCAGATTCCTCACTAAAAACGCCCAACTTCAGTAAAAACCTGGTGCATGCTGGGATTTACTGAAGCTAAAATTAAACATTCTGGCTCAAATATATTCATACACCCTACAGCTCCAATTAACGATTATTGTAATAATCAATTATTCTGATGATTAATTGTTTATTCTGAAAATTAATCAATTAATCAGATAAATAATTTGCCACATTCTGCAGATTTTTTGATTAACCAATTAATAACTGTGTGCAAAATGTGCTTTATTTCTTTCCTTCTTTTTTCCTTCCATCTGTGCTTCTGTAGTTCCTGTTTCATCTCCTCTGCTGAGAGTTTTTCCCTCACCCTGCAGGAAACTTCTCCGTTCCTCTCCATGGCACAGTGGGCGTTGGTGTCACAGGGGTCAAAGGTCAACGCAGCACATGACTTCCTAGGGGAGCAGCCAGATGTTTGGTTGCCATAGAAACCAGGTTTACAGCCTCCGCATTTGTAGGAACCCTGAAAGAGACAGGAGAGCTAAATGTCCACCAGGGGGCGCCGTCTCGACGGGATCCTCAGTAAAACTGGTTCATTTCTCAACCTGAGGATTTTTTCTGCCTGAACGAACAAACAGAAACCTGTAAAGGTGAAAGATCTGCAGCAGAACCGTTGATGGGTCGCTTCAGACGCCGGCAGTCAGTCTGGATCAGGATCAATGAATAAAACCAGAGCGTCTTCTCATCTTTCCACTCACCACAGTGTTGATGCAGACCGAGTTTGATGCACAGGCGTCAGAGAGGTCCACACACTCATCGATGTCCACACATTCCTGAAACACACACACACAGATCCAGCTGGGATTTTAAAGCTTAACTGACAGGAACATCTTGTGAAATTTCCCTGGGAAAGGTCTCAGATCCATCTGGTAAAAAGTGAATATTCTGCAAACAAAAGGAGGAAATTTAATCTCATCTTTTAAGAGAAGGAGCATCGGAGGTTGATGTCAGAACTGAAACCTCCGCAGAACGCAGCAGATCGCCTCTGCTCGTTTCCCGGCGGGTTAATGACTTCCTACCAGCGGTGAGATGATGTCGCCCCGACTCAACGCGGTTTTTCCACAGCTGGGAGCTTTCTGTGCTGCTTCAGAGGCTCTAATGGTTTCCAGCTGCATCCCAGCAATACACTCACACTCGAACTGGGATTACCGACAGCTGATTGTTGCTGCTAACTCGCACAGTCCAACATTCATTTACACGAGCAGTCAGACTGGATTTGCTAAAGACGCCTGTACAAACAGAATCAGCGGCTTTGGATCGGAGTTTGCAGTGACATAATGATGACAGACTTTCCGTTTCTCACCAAAGCGGTTAATTATGGAGCTCTTTTAAGACAAATTTACAGATTTAACTTCAGAAAGACTCGTTTTCCTGTAGAGAAGAAGAACTGTCACCCAAACCGAAATCAAAACGGACGTGTTGTGTTAATGAGTGAGGAAGGAGCCAAATAAATGTCATCACTGACATGAAAGAAAAAAGCTACAAATGGCTGAGCAAAGTGAGAGTTCATCTATTAAACTGACTGGAGATGGATACAGAAGCTAAACTGAGATTAAGTCAGTGTTCTCTTCTTCCTACTCCTTTACAAACAGAAAAGCAGTGATAAATTATTTTGTTCTTGGTTATGTGTTTTCTGTCCTACTGGTCGCCTGTTTTCTTATTTTTCAAAACCTGTTTGAAATAAATATTAAAAAGTCAAATCAAAACTAAAAACTGGTTAATAGACATTTTTCTAAGTGTCTTTGTGAGCCTGCTGCTTTTTACTAAACTGAATAAAATTTGTATAATTTTTGGTAAACTTAAAAATGGAGCTATTACTGTTGCAGGTTAATTTTCTGTACTACAGGACAGTAACTGTTAGGGACGCACTAATATGAAAACTGGGCTGATGTTGATATTTAATATTCATACTGCTGTTACCAATATTTTACTTCATCATAATTTTTATTCGATTACTCGATTAATCGTAAAAATAATCAATATAATACTCGATAATAATTGTTTAAGCAGCCCCAAATCTAAACACAGCTCCTGGTAGACCTGTTTGTGTGTCTTGGCGTAGTCCAGTCCTGTTCCGGCCAGCGGCGCCCCCCACAGGCCTGGAGGACACGGCTTGCAGATGAAGCCTCCCTCCGTGTTGATGCAGGCGTCAGGAGAATAACACGGCTGCAGCTCACACTGCGGACGGCAAACAGGAAGCAGTCAGTGTCTCCCATCCTCTGCCGGGCGTCTCGTGGCGTCCTGTCCTCACCTCGTCAACGTCCCTGCAGTGCGTCCCGTTGCCAGTGGTTCCAGGTGGACACTGTCCACAGGTGTACCCGGGGTACTGCAGGCTGTCCATGCAGGACACTCCTCTGTAGCAGGGGTTGGGGGAGCAGCGAGAGCGCGGTTCATGGAAACCTGCAGGCAGACGGAGGGACAGGTGGGAGGACAGGGGGACGGACAGACAGACAGGGGGCGGCTTCAATCGGGTCCTCAGGTCATTCAGAGACGTCCACAGAGCTGCTGACTCACCACAAACCTGGCACTCCAGGATGGTGTTCCTGATCAGGGACATCTCCTTTACCTGAGGACAGACACGCCGTTGGCTCCTGAGACCATGATGCTGTCTCACCTGTCCCTCTGTCTCACCTGTCCCTCTGTCTCCCTGTCTCACCTGTCTCTCTGTCTCCCTGTCTCACCTGTCTCTCTGTCTCACCTGTCCCTCTGCCTCCCTGTCTCACCTGTCTCCCTGACTCACCTGTCTCCCTGTCTCACCTGTCTCCCTGTCTCACCTGTCTCTCTGTCTCACCTGTCTCTCTGTCTCCCTGTCTCACCTGTCCCTCTGCCTCCCTGTCTCACCTGTCTCTCTGTCTCACCCGTCTCCCTGTCTCACCTGTCTCTCTGTCTCCCTGTCTCACCTGTCCCTCTGTCTTACCTGTCTCACCTGTCTCTCTGTCTCAC